GGTGAAGTTAAAGAAGTGTAGGCCGTGGCAGGGGACTGGATACTCCTCAGGGCTTCATAACACTGGGATGTTAAGCAGACTGGAGATCGACTGGTTGGTTGGTGGTGATGGTGGTGGTGCATCCGTGAGCGCGAGACGATGTTTCACAGTTGAGGTCGTTACTGTGTTCTGCCCGGTAACACTACTCATTAAAGTATTCGCCACTATATTCTTACAGTTTACAGGGAATGATTTAAAAAAAAAAAAAACAATGTCAATAAAAAGTAAAAGACATTTCTTTCTTCAACTTCCTTATTCGTCTCCATGTTGTGTTTTTGCGTTGTCTACGTGATTTTCTCTCTATTTTGTGCATTATTCTACATGAGAGTGATGAGTCCTAAGAGAGTGAGTGGTGACCATGGATATAAAGCATGAAATTGTCGATAAATATGAGCGTGGTCGAAAAGTAAGGGGAAGAAAAAAAAAAAACGTAAGTTAAGTTAATTCTAAGTTTATGTAAGTTGGACGTAGTGTTCGGTACGGAATCAGGTGTCTACGTACGGGCCAACTCTCTTCCCTCCCTTCCTCCCTTCCTCCCTCCTCTTCCTCCCCTCATGCCAAGGAAAGTATTAATTTTCTTTCTGTTATTTCTTATGGTAAAAAATGTTTCGAGTTACGACCTTGGTCCTGAAACGGATTATGCTCGTATCTCGAGGTTCCGCCGTACGCTAAAGTTCCTTACTTTTTAAAGCAGTAGTTTTTAAGTCAGATATTTTTGCAAGAATGGCAGGGTTTTTCTCCCTATAGTTTACGATCTTAACGTGACTTTAACCACTGTGGAAATGTGGAAACGCACGTCGAACTTCGCACATTTCTCTCCATTGATTTATCAACGGCTGCGGGTTAAAACTGGTTTGGTTTTTACACCTACGATCCAGGTCCACACCGGATGGTTTGTCGAGTTGTTTGTTTCCTGCTGCAGTCGGAAATCGGAAACAAACCTGTAGCTGCGGGCCCTGGTCGTAAAATACAGCAGCGTAATTGAAGCAGAATGTGTTTATTTCTCCCTCAGATCACCGAAGTGTTTAATTTATGGGCTACAATATGTAGCCCCAGTTTGACTGCGGCTAATGCCGCCGCGCATGTTTCCCTTTGTGTGTCTGCTATTGATTTAACACTGTGCTCAAATATATTGGGTTCGCTTTCACAGCGCCACGCTGTCACAACCATTTGGTTCCAGGAGAGAAAAGTGAGCGCGGAGTTGGTTTCTAATCAGTTAACGTGTCACTTAGTTTGGCTAGTGCTAATTTACCAGTAGAACAACAACAATGATAATAATATTAATGAATTAATAATAATAATCATTCATTCTAAATACATTCACCTATAAGCAAGCCAGTAGTTTTCTTTAACAGAACTGCTATTTTTCCTATTTAATGACTTTTTTGTTTTTGTTAGCATTTAGCTAACGTCTGGATTAGCTTCATCTAACGTGGAGTCTCGTTCATCTCTAGTTCCCATTAATCTTTAATGTCTGGAATGGTTTTCTGCCTCTGTCTCTCTGGTGGGTGTTTTACATATATGCGAGACAAAAGCTAAAGCTTTGTGTTTTTGTTTTTAGAAAAAAAAAAATCATGTTTCTTGGAGCTAATACCATCGACCAGAGACACCGTTTAATGATTGAGCATTAGACTTTCTTTTGGAAGTTCTACTTTCTACTTTTATTCTTATGATCAAACTGTATTTTTTTTTTAAGTTTAGTTTTTTACTCTTCTTTTGCATTTTAGGTGAAATATTCAACTATTATAAAAAAAAAATGAATGGCTCATTAGAAAAAAAAACAAAACATTTTGTTACTTTACTCTAAATTAACCAAAAGAAAACAAAAACAAAAAAACTAATTAGTTATTAAATTATATTTCGGCAGAACAAAACACTTCAACTGTTTAAAAATATTATTTAGTTTGCGTTCCTGGAATTGAATGCATGACAAAAGATTACAAAATAATTTTAATGGCCTTTTAAACATGTGGTTTGATTCAAATAAAAAACAAAACAAACAAACAAAAAAAAAAATCTCTTTATGTACAGCCAGGATATTTCATTTAGAGAGTTCTTTCCTGGGCAGTGTTGCAGCCCGGTGCTGTGT